CACACAAGTGAGCCCAGTGGACAGCACTGGGCTCCTCAGCACTGACCTGGGACTGCCAATCTGCATGAGGGTGTTTTTTTAATATTTAAAAAAAATTAGTTGTTGATGGATCTTTATTTTATTCATTTATTTATATACAGTGCTGAGAATGGAACCGAGTGCCTTACATGTGTGAGGCAAGCACTCCACCACTGAGCCACGAGCCCAGCCCAGCATTAGGGTTTGATCAAAGTAGCACTGATGAAACTAAAGTGAGTTTGCTTTCTTTTGAGAGGTCAGAATTGATTCAAACCCACATTTGTAAAAGCATTTAGACCAGGAGCTTTTCCCATTCCAGTCTCTAACTTATCTTTGTGAGTTCATGGGCATTTTGATCATATCCTTGACTCATACTTTTGTTAAGAATAAAAGAGGGGCAGGAGTTGTAGCTCAGTGGAACAGCGCTTGCCTAGCATGTGGGAGGCATATAAATAAATAAAAATAAAGGTTCATGCACAACTAAAAAAAATAACAATAAAAGAGATAAGTTCACACTGAAGAAAAACAGCAAAGGAGGGGGATTTCCTGAAACATTTTCATAACCCATATTTAACCAGAGTCTGTTTTGTTTTTCATTTCTGAATGTCTGAGTCAACCCTTCAGTGCTTTTTACCTATGTCTACATTTCTTTCTTTCTCTCTTCTTTCCTTCTCAGGTCCTCACAGAAGCTAAGTTTCCTTACACAGACACCTCACTTCCACACTAGCACTCCTTCAGTTCCCCCCACACTGTGGACTCTCACCTCTCCCTTGAAGGCTTCTCAGGAAAAGGCAGCTTTCTCCTGAAGCCTTTGGAGGCCGACTAAGATCAGTTTCAGATAATCATAGTTTTAAATGACCCCACTCTTATCATCACCATGGTGACGACTATTGCTAATCCATCAGCACTGGACACACCACTAGCAGAACTGCACTAGGACAAGCTTTGTGCCCAGATGCAGGGAAAGCCCAGTCCAGCCACACTCTGTTCAGGGCCCCCAGGGAGGCTGCGTGCGTCAGGAGATGTTGGGAGCCCATGAGATCAGCAGGACCACGGGACAAAGGAGGTGGAGTTTCGCGATCACTCCTGTTTCCCTGTCCCTCTCATGGGTTGTGGCTGCTTGGTGATGGCAGATTTTCTTCCTGTCTGTTCCATGGCACTTGTGGACAATGGCCAAGTCAAGAGGGAGAAGAGAGGCAGCCAAGAGGCACGTCAGCTGTCAGAGAGCAGGAACTGGGGGAAACATGGACGCCTGCGGATAACTTTCTAAACCACACACACCTTACTCCCCAAAGCAGTCTCCACTGGGGTCCTTGGCTCTGATGTCCCAGTGAACAGCACTCAGAGTGAGGGCTGCCAGAGCAGGCAGTGAGTCTGTGCAGGTAGTGCACTGCACAACTTCAGGGTGCCCCGGGAGCCACATGAATGTGGATGACACATCCTTGCAGCTGTACAAGATGGAGAGCCTCTGGCACTAGCCTTTGCTGTAATGCAGAACCTGAAATGACTCTGGAAGGGAAAGTGCAATCCTTACCCAAAGCTGCTTCTCTTAAGAGGCACAAAGTCATAGCAAGGCTGGTCTGGCCATGGGGCAAGGAGGTATTTCTGACTAGGTTCTGATGGAGCCTGTTCTCTCCTGAGAATCCAGCCCTGATCAGGTGAAGTCTCATTGCATGCCATGGAGAGAGGTTTGCTGCAACTTGCCCTAAAGGCACACTTTCTGATGCTCTCTCTGATTCATTTGGACACACATCTACCGAGGGTCAAGCAACCAACTGGACTTTCTGGAGATCTGGCACAATCTCTGCCTTTAAGGAGCATCCAATTTTATTGGAAAGAAATCAGAACATATTACAATTTTAAAAACAGACTGGGTTAGAAGTTTAGATCATACTTAAGTCCAAAATTGCCCGATACAGACTGACCTTGTAGAGGGACGCCAGGGAGGGGAGACTGCCTCTGGCTGGCCAAGGTGAGAGCTAGTGAAGAAGGAGGGCGAGGGGGTGCTGCAGGGTCTAGGCTGGGCAGGGTGTAGGAGACCTGGGGCAGGGGAAGGGGCATTCAGCAGGAGTCAGGGAGTCCCTCTCCTGCACAGCTGAGGAGATGCCACCTGCAGCCAGCATTTCAGTGAGGCTTCTTGTGTGTTAACAATGGTGCTCAGAAAGAAGCAGGGACTCAGACGTGTGGATGGGTCTCACAGGAAGAGACAGAGGCACCCACGACTTCCAAACAGCTCTGGCCATCACCGTGTCCCTTCCTTTGTTTGGTGCTGAGATGCTGCATGTGGAAGTTGGCCAGCTGAGAAGGGAGATGGCCGAGGAGGCGGGCAGGCTGCAGGTGGCTGGATAGGAGGGCCTCCCTTACACAGGTGAGCTACAGTGCAGTGGGACCCTTCAGCGTGAGCAGAGCCCTTTGATTTACTGCAGTTGGAGAGCAATGATACCATCAATTTTACGAATTTTCTATGTGAGTGTCGCCCCTCAGATATATGGAGGACAGAGGGCATGAGGTTTGATCTTCATTAAAACTGAGACTGTAGTCACACATGTGTCAACTTTTACTGTATTTAAGTGTGTGTGGACATGCAAGACACTGAATTGAAACTGGAAACAAAGAATCAGGATTGAGCAAGTCAGGTATCATTCCAGAGCCGTCCTTTACTCTATGGACTTGAGAGTCCCCACAGAGAAGGTAGCAAAAGACTGAGCTGCAGGGCACAGTGACACATGGCTGTGATCCCAGTGACTGAGGAGGCTGAGGCAGAAGGACAGCAAATTCAAGGTCAGCCTCAGCACCTTAGTGAGATGCTGGGATGTAGCCGGGGTAAAGCACCAGCACCAAAATCAACCAGCACCAATCCAAAAGAAAAAAGCACACACACACACACACACAAGAACAGTGGGCTGGGGATAGGGTGATGAGTATGGGGCAAAAGGGAGCAGAAAAAGTTTTTAATCACAAAGAAATACTTCCAGGTGCACCGGAGGGAAAACTGCATCTTTCATGTAGGAGACACCACAATACCAAAATAGAAGGGAGCCCCTGATCTATGTCCCCATTCACTTACCCCACAACCCTCCTTCAGAGCCAGACTTTAAATACATAAACACATGTTCCACCTCCCCTCCTCATCCCAAGGACTCCTCAGCCTTTTGCCCTCTGACTTCATCTTGTGTCTGCACTGGGAACGCTCTCCCAGGGATGCCATGTTATAGCCCCTAGAAACTTGCTGTTCTTCCAGCCACATCGAGACTATTTCCATTTTCTTCTTCCCTAGATTTGTGGCCCCTGAGTCTCCCTCCCCTTGCTTGGGCCCGTCTCCTTCTCCTCCTTCCTTAGCTGACTTAGATACTGATGCTCCTCTGGCTGCCACCCTCTCCCAGGTCCTCTTCCTTTCCCACGCTCCCACTGTCCCTGGGTTACTGTGCACCTTCCTGTGATGGCCGTCACCTCCTGAAATGAGAGAACCCCCAAATCCATATCTCCTGCCCTTTGTGCTGGGAGAGACCCAACACACTGTGGGTGACCCTCAGACACCTGAAGCTCAGCATGTACAAACCTGAGCTTGAGATCTTCACGTCCCAAATTGCTCCTTCTCTTATGTTCATGTCTCAGCGGTAAACACCACCCCCCCCCGCCAGTAGTTCCCAGGTCAGACTCAGGCAGCCTCTTTGACTCTTCTGGCTCTCTCTCTCTCTGTGTCTCTCTGCCAATTACGCACCACATTCAGTTGATCCTACCTCTTGTCGCCTCATGAGTCCAGCCTCACTGTGGTTTCTCTAAACAGGCACCCTGAGCTTTAACCTCATAACTCCAAATGTCTCCAGACTGGTGTTTTTGCCTCAGACTCACCCACCTCTGGGTCTGCACTCCAGGCAGGGTGATCCCCACAAGATGTGAGATGCACACACTGCATCAGTGTCCCTGGTGACATCCCACAGAGCTCAGCATGAGACCCTGCTCCTAGTGTGCCTTATACACAGCTTCCGGATCTGGCCTTGGTGCCCCGTCTCCCCGGCTTCTCTGCTGCACTGTGAGCTACAGCCCCCTGAATGCTAAGATTTTCTCAGTGATGATTGGTGGCTGGTTGGGTGGTTGAGCAAGCCCCAGCTTCTTCAGGAATCATCTGGCTTCATTTGCAGCATTTTTGTTTGTTTGTTTGTTTGTTTGTTTGTGGTGCTGGGGATTGAACCCAGGGCCTTGTGCATAGGAGGCAAGCACTCTACCAACTGAGCTACATCCCCAGCCCTCACACACAGCATTTTAAAAGCAGCTGTGTTGTCCAGCTGGGCACTGAGTACCTCACCAAGTCTCATCTCCACAGTTGTTTTCTCCTACACTCGCCTCTCTAAAATTCCAAAGCAAGCCACTAAACTCGTAAACCTGAAATCTCCGGCCGTCATCAGTGCTGCCAGGTGGGCCATGAATTTCCATGTGTCCTCAACTCTTCTCAACATTCTGCAATATTTCTCCAATTAAAGCACTAGAGTTTCAATACCAGAGTTAGAAAAAAAAGATTTAATATATTAAATTTGGGGTCTGGGGTTGTACTTCCTTCCTAAGGTGTGATGTATACTAGTTGCTTAATAAATGCTTGTGGGATGGAGTGTTTCTCAGTGACCATGTGAAGTCTCCATGTGTGTTCACACAGAACAGAAAAAAACAACACAATGCTTCTAACACTTAAAGAAACTTCAGGGACAATCAGGAAAAGCTCCCTTTACACAACAATTCTTCCTAATAGAGAGTTATTTACACATTCATATATTTTGCTTTATAAGCACCAAAAAAAAAAAGACACCCAAATTTTAAGAAGCTAGCAATTTATTACTTTACATAAAAACTTCATTTAGATGATACTCCCATGGTGTTAACCATGGAATTAATGTGACTAGCCATAACAATAAAAAATATTTTAAGAAGCATTTTCTACTTAGAAAAAGGATCAACAAATATGGAAATTACTCACTGATAAAACTTACCGTATCTGAGATTTCGTGCCTAAAAATAGAAAAGAGAAATGGCATCAACAAAGAGTAGACAATTTCAATTTTTAAAGTAACGGGAAAGGAAGATTCCCATCCCCAAAACTATGTTTTGAAATATATTATGCAATTGTTAGGTGGACCCCTATGTGTCTAGAGGCCCCCAAGGCCCCTTTAGCTTGGTGTGCAGTTTCAATCGACCGTGGTAGGTTCCCAGGCACAGCAGGCTATGGATGCAGAGCCTCATGGCTCGATCCCTCACTGTGCTGCTCACAAACACAGACATCTGGGCTGAACTGCCTGCTGGGGACACCAACTATGCCCAGCCACCTGTCAGTCCACATCTCAGGGCAGCTGCTCATCATCTGCTGCCTTTCCCCGGATTTTTGAACCTAACAATCTAAAAGATTCTCAGAAGCATCCTGTATATGAATACAAATTATTATTTTTCACTCCTAATTCTAAACACATCAGCTGAGGCTCTGTGATTTTAGACTGAAGAAGACCAAGCCATCATGTCCAGCATTGCCTCTGTAGCAATATATTCTCCACATGTTAAAGAAATAACTTACAATTAAAACTTTGGAAGAGAAAGCCACTTACATGAAAGTCAGAGATCCTGGTAGAAGATTCACAAATGGAGACAACTAAGAGTTGCATTAACTCTGACTTCCCACAGAGTCAGGGATCTCTGGGGCTCTGGCTCTTGGTGGCATAACTGTAACTAGCCTAAGTGCCCGTTATCTGTTTCCTGCTTGCTCCATACTGATTCCCACAGCAGGGCATGCAGTTTTCAAGTTATCAGACTGAGATCTTGTACAGAAATGACTCCCAGGTAAAAACTTAAAAAACAATCCTACTGCCTTTCTCACCTACTCACACAAGAGTCTTAGCCAGCTCACCCCTCGTGAAAAACATATGACCTTGATTCTATTCTTTGAATTTTGGGCTAAAAGCTAAGAATTTGGAGACAAGCATCCTCCTTACAAAGGTGACTTTCATCCCCAAAGTCCTTAAAGTTCCACATCCAGGGCAGGGCACATCCCAGGGCAGGGCACAGGTGTAACTAACACTCTATTCTCCAGCCCCTGGCTCTGCCCTCATCACCCAAGGCAGGAAGAAAGAAAGGACAGTAGAGGTCAGGCTTGGACGTCTCCATGGAAGGAATGGTCACTGGTGACAGGCAGCTGTCACTCTTCTTTCCCCAAGTACTGAGGGAATGTGATGGTGGAATCCAGTCCCCCGGAATTCACAGCAGCAGGGAGGACACTGTGTCTGCTCAGTGCTCTCAGGTTTTAGTTACTGAGGTTCTTCCTCCCAGGTTGTGCCCCCTCCACTGTCTTTCAAGTTGGTGAGAAAATGAATCTGGCATCTCCCTAACTGTGGATGAAAGATTGGATCAGAGTGCAAGACCAGGGGCTGGAGGAGAAGAATCCTGGAATTGCCACTGTGCATGGCATCCCACATCCAGTGACAGAACACATGCTGCCTTACTGGAAGGAAGGGAAACTTAAATGTCAACCCATTGATGCCACAGAGAGTTAGCACAGAGGAGTTGGTCCGCACTTGCTTTGAGGCGGTCCATGGCCCCTGAACTTGAAACAGGTGTAACTTAAAAGCTGCCCAGTGCCTGTGAGTTGTAGCTGTGAACGGTTCTGCCAAGGGAGTTGGCCACATGTGGCAGTGCACACCCAAGGCCTGCTGCAGACTGTTGCCCACCTTCAGGGGTGGGCCCTGCAGGGGCAACGGGGAGTGACACTGGGTGCCTCTCTGCTGCTGTTCCACTCTGAGTCCAGGAAGCAGACAGTAGCTGCTCAGGGCAGGCCTGCTCTGCCTTCTCCTCTCCAGCCCAGGCTGGAGGGCGGTGCGCATGGAGTACTTGGTTACAGCTGTGGCCTTCCTTGGTGATAGACAGCAGGGAGAGGGTGGGCGGTTTCCCCGGGGACAGTCCAGAAACAGACAAGACAGGGACTCTTCAAGACTCTTCAGGGACTCTCTTCAGGCTTTTGAGAGCAGCACCTGAAAACCTTGGTGGATGTTAGGTTCACTTCCCAGTGAAACTGTAAAACTGAAATCAGAGGCATGTAGGTGCTTAGAGGACAGAGATTATGCCTCCCTTTCTCACAATTAAATAAGAGTAAACATCTCAGTTAGTTGTCATCCCCCTAGCAAGATGTCTTCAAGATAACAGGCATTTTCCAAATTTGCCTAATGAAAAATAAGTCAGCCAGCCTGCTTTAATGGAAGTGTGTCCTGGGTTGATTGTCTCTAGAACTTTAAGCTTGGCCTCCTGCTTCAATTGAATCTATTACACTCAATTTCCTGTGAGGCTCTTTCTTTCTTTCTTTTTAACTTTATACTTCTTTTATTTTCATATGAAGTTAAATTCACTTACCTTTTCTTAATCGCCTAGTGACACAAATGATAAATATCAACCCAGAGAATGCAGTGACTATGGCTGCCACTGAAATGAGGAGTGAGTTATGGAGAACAAGAATTTTCTTGATCTTTGAGAAACTGTCTGATTCTGAAACAGAAGGCAGGAAGGCACACATGAGACCACAGCATCATTTCCTTGGTGCAGCTCCTGATTCTTGACATTTTCCCTCCTGGCTTCCCATTACAGCCCCTTGATGGCCTTGACAGATGGGATGCATGGGAAGGCCCCCCCAGGAGTCTACCGCAGAATCAGACTGGCCCAGCCTTTAGCCTAGTGCCTAGAGATTCTCTGTCGCCTGATGGGTGATTGGTAGAATTCCTGGGAATGTCTACAAATTCTTGGCAAGAAAAAGTTATCATTGTATTGAGCTTTGTTCAATGGTTGGACCTCAGACACAGAGAAGATCTACAAAGTCAGATACAACTTCAGGAAAAAGAGAAGCCAATGGTTGACCTGGGAAACTTGTCAAAGGAAACTACTAGTGTTTTTACTTTAAAGCACACGTGCAAACGTAAGCACTAGAGTTTATGTGCCAAGACCTGCACTGATCTATCAAGTGATGTAGACCTACCACCTCCCTCCACTTCCTTCCCCAACAAGGAAAAGGACTCAGTTACACATCCTTTGTGAATATAAACTTGGTTCATTTGTAGTTTCATTTTTATTAAGAAAAAGTTCCAATGTGAGAAACCTGCCTTGGATACCTCCTGATGAAGGAAGCTACTTCCCATGTTGGCACAGGGTCCAACTGGGGCCCTTGAACCTCTAGCTGCTTTGCTGAGCACTCACACAATGCCTCCACCGGACTCTCAAATACAGGATGCTGAGAGGCTGAAGTTCCCAGAGGTACCAAACAGGCACCTGTTGGCTTGAGGAAGATGAGGGAATGGATGCTAGCCAGGCTGCAAAGCAAATGTACCCGACAACCTGACACTCAGAGGCCTTCTTGCCCCTCCTGCTGCCTGCCCCACTGCACTCTAGACACACAGAGGTTAGCTTCTCTAGTGACTTCTACAGACCCCAACCCAGGAGGCCCTCTGTAGCCTGTGCAGATGGCATGTGGGGCAGACCTTGGGGCCATCCTCTCATGTGCTAATTTAATGTGCCTTTGATCCAGCAAGTGTTGCTGGCACCTGTCAGGTGGAGGAGAGAGGAAGGTGAAGAAGACAATCCTTCTCTTGCTCAGACTTGGGAGACATCAGCTGAGGGGCAGGTGAGAAGAATCCATGATTTTGGGAATTAGGTGGCCATGGATGCCCTTTGAGGAGGCATTTCAAGGGACTAACAGAGAAGAGAAGTCAGATAGCAGAGGAAAAGAACAATGGAGAAGAGCTAAGTCACCAGAGACAGTGGGTTAGATTTTAAAAGTTCAGACAGGAAGTGTTGAGAATGAAAAACAGAAATGGCTGTCACTAGAGGAGGAGACAAGGACAGCCAAGCATTGTATAGTAAGTTAATGCATACAAACTTGTATTGTACAAAATGAAGCGTCAAGTTTAGTAGATGTGTCCCACCATCTGTGTGTCCATCAGCCCCATCTTCAAGTCTTCTGTGTATTGGGCGAACTTACTTTGACATATTGGATGAGGGCTGGACCAGATTCCAGAGGATCCACAAACAGTTCTCTTCTCCCCAATTAGCTCAGTTCCCTCTGAGCAGCTGAAGGTGCACGTGGAGGTAAAACTGAAGTTGGCCAGGGGGTGAGTGCAGTCCATGGACCCCAAGTCAGGTGCTGTCAGAGGCTCACACTGAATCACTTCAATGGAAAAGACAGAACAGAAGAACTCAAGATAGTACTTCGGAGCAGAGAACTCTCCCTTGACCAAAGATTTTTAGCCAAAGCCGTCTGACCTAAGATGGGACCATCCACATGCATATAGGAGTCCTCATTTCTAGACGTTACTTCTGGTGATGCTTCCAGACTTTATCTTCTTGGAATGATGATGAGTGGTAGGTTGGGGGTGAAGCCCCAGCAGCCCTGATGAAGCAGCATGGCACACACCTTGCCTAACAGCATCCTAGAGTATTCTCACAAATGTGCAGAATCTCCACCTTCTCTCCTGTTGTAGAGCTCACCCAGGAAGTTTTGAAAAACATCCCAACTCTACAATCCCAATTTTGTTAAATTTGGTAGATGGACTTTGATAAAGGATGTTGATATTTCTTTTAAGAACTGAACTACTTAAACCAGTGTTTCAGGAGGATAAATGTAGAAAATGTCATCAGAACTTCCCATGTGCAGACAACCACCAATATTCTTCCATGTGGGGATAATCTTGGCAGTTAAAAAGGAAAAAAATCTACTGTATTTCAAATGTGAAGAGATGAAGAGATTGCTTTGTGGGTTTATTTGTACTGGGGATTAAACTCAGGTCACTTAGCCTCTGAGCCACATTCCAAGGCCTATTTTGTATTTTTCTTAGAGACAGAGTCTGAGTGGGTTGCTTAGTGCCTCACTTTTGCTGAGGCTGGCTTTGAACTTGCCATCCTCCTGCCTCAGCCTCCCGAGCCACTGGGTTCACAGGCCTGTGCCACTGTGCCCAGCTTGCTTTGAGTGTTTTGACAGCAGTGTTACTTCCCTGGTAGTTCATGTGAGAGGGAAAGAAAAAAAATATGTTAAGACACACCAAATAAAACAATCTAGAAAGACTTCCGACCCTGTGAAGAAAATTGGTTGGTATTGAGTAGGACACCATATAAAAAACAAGTGTTAATAAGAGGCGAGGAACAAAACTGAACTCTTCAGCAAGACTGATTGCTTACCCCATGGCAATTAGAAAAATAAAATGAAAACATAACCACATCATATTGCTGTAACCCAATTGCGCACTGATGGTTGGATTTAGAGACAAACAACCCTTATTGGGGGGTTTTCTTTTTTGATTTTAGTTAGAATGATGCCTTAGAAAAGCATTACATTACAATCTATGCCATATTAAAATATGATCCAAAAGTAAATAAAGACTTCCTACATGACTCTGCTCCATTTTCTAAAACCATAAGCACATGGTGACCAATGCAAGGCCTCTAGTCTAAAGTTACTCACCTACACAGGTGGGTTCTGGAGATGACCAGTTTCCAAGTGGGCCACATCTTGTTTTGCCATCTCCAAGTAGCTTTGTTCCCTCAGAGCAGTTGAAGGCACACTGCGATCCGAAGCTGAAGGCTCCCAAAGGGTGAGTGCAGTCCATGCTGCCCAGCTCTGGGGCCTCCAAAGCCTCACACTGGACCACTTCAGTAAGGAAGAGACAGTGTTGGGAAGGGTTAAGAGGACCTGCTGCCTGGGTTTGAATCCCAGCTCAGCCAGTTGACAACCCTGTGCCTTCAAGCAAGGTCACTTAAAGTCTGAAACTTCAATTTCTTCATCTATAAAAGGTCAACAATGATAACTATATTAATCCCATGAAGTTGGTGTGGGAAGTACATGCCATTCAATTACTATAAGTCAAGGACTCAGAATACAGCACGGCTTCTTAGAAGATCTAACTAAATATCAGGTAGTTTGACATCATTGGCAGTAATTGGATTTTTAAAACCAAAATTGCATTAAAGGTGACTTACCAGCTTAGTTGGGAAATAATTCTAACCTCAGCCAGAGTATTTTTGACTGTTGGGAGCAAGAGGGTCAGAGAAAGAGCTGGTCTCCAAAGTGAGTCTTCGAGGCAGGAAAAAGATGAAAGTTCAGGAATCATCTTGGCCTCCATTCTGTCTTTATTCTACTTATCTCAGTTACAGAAGCTTAGCTCTTTGGATTTTGACCAACTTCTCAAAAAAGAGTATCAATTTTCCTGTTCTGATTGATAGTACAGAAGATGAAGTGAAAAGTTGGAAATCAGTGGGCTTATTTCAGGCCTTACCATGACATTTGGACAACTATTACATTCCAACTCTTATTTCTCACTCCTTTTCAATCAAAAATGAACCATAATTCTGACCTTACTCTTGAGAATTTAATGAAGATTGGTCTTAAGAAATTAGGAGAATTTTTCTATTTTCCACACTTAGTACAAGACCAAATGAAGGGAAATTGAACTTTCCAATTGAACTCAGAAAAGAAAGTGCCTGATATATTCCAGTTATATCTGAGTCCCACATACACAACCATGAAGAAAACACTATTGATCTTGGAAAGTCAAGATGGTAGATTAGAGGAAGGCTGCATTCCCATTACTCCATGGCTCAGGATGCAAGTACAGGAGTACTGCCTCTCAGCAAAGTAGGGATTTAACTCCAGTTCAAAAACTGGACAGTCATAGTGTCTTAGAGACTCAGAAATTTGGATTAATTAAACAAAGAACATGAAGGAGCACATTAGAGCCAAGTCAGCTGCAGCAGTGGGCTGGTTCATGCAGAGGAGAGGGATAACAGAGAGGAACACAGGCACAGACTTGGATTGAAAAAGCCTGTAGATGAGAAACGCAGCCTGAACTTGGCTGCTCCAGAGGCTATGCTGCAAACTGATGCTAGGAAAGTGCTCTGTGTTCCTCAACCAGCAGGCAAAGAGCTGAAGCGAGAGCCGCCTTGAGGTGGCCGTGCTGCAGTTGCTGCTGCAGGACTGGGAGGTCATAGCACGCATGGCCATACTGTCCCCCAAGTGCCTACCTCATGACCTAGGTTGTGCCTAGCAGAACATGAGTGAAACAGGCCCAGAGAAGATTGTGCCCAGGGGACTTCAGGCCAGAAAAACAAAGCAGAGCCCAATTCACTTTTCCTTTGGGTCTGGCAACTCGTGTGTTTTTTGAAGCAGGTCAGAAATCCGAAAAGGAGGGTGTGAATACACTCAGGGGATAAGCCTGGGAAGGCTGCGTTTGTGGGCATATGAGAACAAAATTCTCTCTTTCTATCTCCCTTTACTTTGGTTTTCTTATTTTTTCCTCCTCATTCTGATATGCATCACCTGCTGTATCTCTTCTGCATTCTCTCTGTTACTTTTTGGATATGTAAACTCTCTTCTACCATCCTATCACACTTCCTTTTCTCTAAATGAACTGCACTTTCCCCATCTTTTATAACTACTGCTTATATAACTCCTGCCCCCACCATTCATGTTGTTGCAATTATCATTGCTGTGGATAACACACCTGACATGTTCTGCTTTCTTTAATGCTAGATTTAGTTTGGGTTCTTAATTATTTTTGCTGTTGGTAATTGCTGACACTATCATTCCTGTTTTTTGTGGTCATTAATGTATATGTCATAGCAGAAACTGAGCATTTATTTTAATGCTATATATTGATTGCATCAGTTGTTGCTACTGTTTGTTTCCCCTATTCTATGAGGTGCTGGGAGACTACAAGTTCACAGAGTGGAGACTCTGTTGCTGAACTAAAACTCAGCCAAAAGACAGCACACCTCTGCGCACAATTTAACGACATCCAAACTTTAGCTATACTTTAGTACAAAGAATAGAAAATACAAAAACACAAACTAACAACCAGACCCCAAGTAGGAATTGCTAGGAGTGGACCCTCAGGTCCTACTCACAGACCCCTATCCCTACAGTAAAAACAGAAAGAATTAATGCGAAGTCTGTGGATACCACACCTATAATCCTATCCCAATCTAGATCACTCTACAACACTTTGGCAAGTGAAGGACATGCCTAAAAAATCCCAAAATTATGGGGCTTGGGATATAGCTCAGTTGATAGAATTCTTGACTCACATGCACAAGGCCCTAGGTTCGATCCCCAACACCACACACACACACACACACACATACACCCCAAAGTAAGGGTAGAAGAGGAATTCATCCCAACAGATGCATAAAACCGAACACAGACATACAAGAAATATGTAAAAACAAGGTAACATAACACCTTATAAAGGTCATAGTCGCCAGCAACTGACCCCAAATATAATGAAATGAATGAAATATCAATTAAAGAATGATTATAAAAATTATCAATGAATTCCAAGAGAACACAGGAAAAAACTGAATGAATTAAGGAAATTAGTACAGCATAAGAATGAGAAATCCAAAAAAGAGACAGAGATATAGAAAAGGAACCAAACAGAAACCATGGAAATGAAAGACATAATAAATCAAATAAGATGTTCAACTGAAAGTCTCTCTGATAGAGTTGACCATTGTGAAGATAGGATCTCAGACTGGGAGACAAAGTGGCCAGAAATGAACATTCAGACATACTAAAGAAAGCAAAATAAGTAACTACGATCAGAATGAAAAGAACCCTGGGACAATATCGAGACCAAACTTAAGAATCACTGGAATTGAGGAGGGTTTTGAGATGCAGGCTAATAGAATGGATAACCTCTTCAGGGAAATAACAACAGAAAATTTTCCAAACCTTGAGAGTGAGATAGATATTCAGATACAGGACACATTCAGAACCCCAAATAGACGAGATCAAAAAATAACTTCTCCACAACACATTATAATTAAAATGCCTAATGTACAGAACAAGGATAGAATTTTTAAAGCCTCAAGAGAGAACCTAAGGTACATTTAGAAGCAAGCCAACCAAAATTACTTCTGATTTCTCAGCACAAACTTTAAAAGTCAGGAAGTATTGAAATGTGTTCCAAGTCCTGAAAGAAAATAAAGATCAAACAAGATTGCTATATCCATACTTCAAAATCAAGATGAAATAAGAACACTACAAGATAAACAGAAACTAAAATGATTTATGACTACTAAGCTGGCACTACAGAACCTACTTAAAGAAATACTACAAACAGAAGAAATAAAAAACAAACCCCAGAGCTCACAGATCAACAGATATCATTTGAAGAGTAGCTAAGCAAATGAGAAACAGGACCAAATTAAACATTGGAAATAAACCAAAATGGCAGAAATTAATAAACATCTCTCTGCAATAACATTGAATGTAAAAGGTCTCAACTCTTCAATTGAAAGACATAGGCAGACAGAACAGATAAAAACAAGATCCTCTAAGCTATTTTCAAGAGACTCACCTTACATGCAAAGACAGCCATAGGCTGAAAGTGAAAAAATGGAAATTTATATACCATGTAAATGGAGCCTGAAAACTAACAGGAATAGCTACTCTCCTATGGTAATAAAGCAGAATTCAAGCCAAAATTAATCATAAGAGACAAATAAAGTCACTTCATACTGGTAAAGGGAACAATCCAACAAGAAAATATAACCATAATAAATATTTATGCCCCAAACATGGGTGCAACTAATTACATAAGGGAGACACTACACAAATTGAAGCCTCAGATGGACACAATACTATAATACTGGTGATTTCAATACACCTCTCTCAACATTAGATAGGTCAAAACTCAGTTAAGATTCTTTGTACCGGAATAATACAATAAATCAAATGAACTTAACAGACATCTATAGAATATTTCATCCAACCAGAGCAAATACAATTTCTTCTCAGTGGTTCATGGAACCATCTCCAAAGTAGACCATATTTTAGGCCACAAAGCAACTTTTAGTAAATACAAATAAAAATTGATATAATTTTTTACAGCTGGTCAGAACATAATGGAATGAAATTTGAAATCAACACCAAAAATCCCTACAGAAATTATATAAACACATGGAGATTGAACAATACACTCTTGAATGATGAATGAGTGATAGAAGAAATCAGGGGAGACATTTAAAAATTCTAAGATTCAAATGAGAATAGTGATACAACATACCAGAACTTTTGGTATACTATGAAGCCAGTTCTAATAATATAGCTATGATTGCCTATTAAGAAAACTAGAAAGATCTAAAATAAATAACCTGATGATGTAATTCAAGGCCCTTTACAAATGAAGAACAAACCAATCATGAAATGAGTAGAAAAAAGAAAATAATTAAGAGTTCAAATCAATGAAATTGAAAATTTAAAAAAAAAAACACACAAAGGATCAACAAAACAAAAAGTTGGCTCTTTGAGAAGATAAAAAAGTTTGATAAACCCTTAGACAAACTAACCAAAAGAAAAAAAATACCTAACTTAATAAAATCAGAGATGAAAAAAAAAGACATCATAGAAATCTAGTGGATTATTAGAGACTACTTTGGAAACTTATACTCCAACAAATTGTAAAACCTAGAAGAAAGGATACATTTCTAGACACATACAATCTGTCAAAATTGAATCAAAAAGACATGGAAAATTTAAACAGACCAGTAACTGGAAGTGCAATAGCAGTAATAATATTTTTTAAACTTCCATAAAAGAAAAATCCATAATCAGATGGATTCTTCTACCAGACCTTTAAAGAAGAATTAAGGCCAATGCTCCTCAAATTATTCCATGAAATGGAAAGGAATGGGACACTTCCAAATTCATTCTATGAAACCAGTATAACATTCATACCCAAACTAGATAAGAACACTAGCTAAGGAAAGAGAATTACAAACCAATATCCTTGATTAACTTAGATGCAAAAGTCCTTATAAAATATTAGCAAATAACATTCAACAAGTTATTCAGAAGATTTTACATCATGACCAAGTTGGTTTTACCCCAGAGATGTAAGGATGGTTTAACATATGCAAATCAATAAATGTAATTCATCACATAAATAGAATTCAAGACCAAAAAATCTTAACCATCTCAACATATACAGAGAAAGCCTTTGACAAATTTCAGCACAGATTCATGATTTAAAAAAAAAAAAACACTGTTAGAAATAGAAGGAACCTCGCTCAACATCATAAAAGATATATATGAAAAACCCAAAATCAACATTATAGTAACTGGGAAAAAATGAAAGCATTCCCTTTAATATCTGGACCAAGAGACAAGGATGCCCACTATCACCACTCCAATTTATATATACTAGAAATTCTAGCCAGAGCAGTTAGGCAAGAGAAGGAAATAAGAGGGATAAAAATAGGAAAGGAAAATGTCAAACATAGCTCTTTGCAGATGATATGATCCTATACTTAGAAGATCCAAAAAGGTCCACCAAAAGACTCCTTAATAAACAAATTCTGCAAAATCAATCTACAAAAATCAATAGCTTTCCTATATACCAACAATGAATCTGCTGAGAAAGAAATCAGGAAAACAATTCCATTCACAATAAATAGACTCAAAACAATAAAATACCTAGGAATAAATCTAACCAAGGAGGCAAAAGACCTCTACAATGAAAACTATAGAAACTTGAAGGAAAAAATTGAAGACACAGAAGATGGAAAGTCCTCCTATGTTTATGGATAGGCAGGATTAACATTGCTAAATGGCCATATTACCAAAAGCGATATACAGATTCAATGCAATCCCCATAAAAATACTGATGACAGTCTTCACAGGACTTGAAAAAATTCACTTGGAAGAATAAAAGACCCAAAATAGCCAAAGCAATTCTAAACCAAAAAAACCAAAACTGTATGGTACTGTCATAAAAATAGACACATAGTAAAGGACTACTTGCCTCATGATCTATTCCCCAATACAAATTTGCCTTTCAACAAAAAATTATAAAGCATGTCAAAGGCAAGAGAAAATGAGTCTGAAACTTAAAAGTGATTATCAGAACCAAATTCAGTTATGGTTCACATGTTTGAAGTAAAGGACTTGGAATTGAAAATAACTATAATTATTAATAAGCTATTTGACTCCAAAGGACAAGGTAGACAACATGCAACACAGGATGAATAATGCTGACAGTGATATGCCAACTATAAGAGAAAATTCACAGGAAATATTGGAAATTAAAAACACATTTAGTGAGCATAGTACACCTGACAGAAGAAACAGAAAACTTGATGATATGACAATAGAAATCACCAAACTGAAACAAATGGTGCTGGGAAACTGGTTATCCATATAAATAAGAATTAAACTACATCTTTTTCTCTCACCTTGCAAAAATATCAACTCAAAATGAATCAAAGACCTATAGGAATTAGACTAGAAACTTTACTACTCCTAGAAGAAAATGTAGAGGCAACACTCAGGCATATAGGAATAGGCAACGGCTTTCTCAGTAAAACACCCTAAAGCTCAGAAAATAATGCCAAGTCTTAATAAATGGGATTGCATCAAATTTTAAAACTTCTGCACAGCAAATGAAACAATTAAGAATGTGAAGAGAGAACCTACAGAAGGGGGAAAATCTTTGCTAGGTACTCTTTTGATTGAGTATTAATATCCAGAATAAAGAACTCATAAAACTTAACACCAGAAAAACAAATAACCCAATTATTAAATGGGTAATTGAACTAAACAGACAATTCTCAAAAGAGGAAATACAAATGATTGAGAAATTTATGACAAAATGTTCAACATCATTAGCAGTTAGGGAAATACAAATCAAAACTACACTGACATTTCATCTTATGACATCATCATCAAGAATCTTAAAACAAAACAAAAAAAGGAATCTTAAATCACAGTCATCAAGAATACAAACACAGCTGGGATGGTGGCACACAACTGTAATCCTAGTGGCTCAGGAGGCTGAGGCATGAGAATCACAAGTTTAAAGCCAACCTCAGCAACTTAGGCCCTAAGCTATTTACTGAGACCCTGTCTCAAAACAAAAAATTAAGGGATATGGCTTATTGGTCAAGTTCCCTTGGGTTCAATCCCCAGTAAATAATAATAATAATAATGATGATGATGTGGGGGAAAAGGAACACTCTTACACTGTTGCTGGGATTCTAAAATAGTGCAACCATTATGGAAATCAGTAGGAAGCCTCTTCAAAAGACTAGACATGGAAACCACATGACCCAGCTATTCCACTGCTCAGTACTTGTCCTAATAATGTCTGCATATGATAGTGTGATACAAGCAAACCCATGTTTGCAGCAGCATAATTCGCAAAAACAAACTGTAGACCCAACCTAGGTTTCCACTTATGGATGAGTGGATAAAGAAAATATGGTGTGTGTGTGTGTGTGTGTGTATACACACAATGATATTTCATAAAACATAAAGAAAAATGAAATAATGCCATTTGCTGGAAAATGGATAGAACTTCAGAACATTATGATAAATGAAATAAGCCAAACTCAGAAGGTCAAGTGTCCCATGGTCTCTCTCATATGTGGAAGCTAAGAGGAAAAGGGAAAAGAAAATGGTGGGGGATCTCTTGAAAATCAAAGGGAGATCAGTAAAAGAAGGCGACAAGGAGGAAGGAAGACTGCAGGGAGGGGAAAGTAAAACAACAACAACAACACCCACTGCTGATCTCAAGAAGTCCTCAGAACCAGGGTGGATGGATCACCAAACTCAAAACCTAGGCAACAAATGAGAAGGAGACACGTGCAGCAACTGGAACATGGAATCACAAGATTGTTCTGCATTTTCCCAGACTGTACCCCAGAACTACCATGCCAAGCCACTAATCAGAAGTCACTGACCTTGACAGGTGGGTTCTGGAGATGACCAGTTTCCAAGTGGGCCACATCTTGTTTTACCATCTCCAAGTAGCTTTGTTCCCGCGGAGCATTTGAAGGTACACTGTGAGCTGAAGCTGAAGGTTCCCAGAGGGTGAGTGCAGTCCATGCTGCCCAGATCTGGGGCCTCCAAAGCCTCACACTGGACCACTTCAGTGAGGAAAGAGACAGTGTTGGAAAGGGTTAAGAGGACCTGCTGCAGGATCTGAATTCCAGCTCAACCACATACTTTCAAGCAAGGTCACTTAAGCCCTGCAACGTCAGTTTAATCATTTATAAAAGGTCAAAGATGATGAGTGCATTAACCTCATAGAGCTAGTCCGGGAGCTACATATCATTCAATTTCTGTAAGTCAAGTGCTTAGAACAGAGTAATGCTCTTAAGAAGTCCTAAGTGTTGGGTTTCTTCTTCATATTGTTTTCTGTGGCATTATCTGGACAGATGATTCAAAGTCAGATTGGTGAGTGGGAATGAAGAACTTGGAAGGGAATAACTATGATGTGAGCTCAGTATTCCAGAGAGTTGGCAGTGAGAGGTTCAGACCAAGAGTGGCCAGGGTAATAGATGTTTTAGGAGAGAAGGAAAAGGCATTAGAATAATCCTGGTGTCCATTCTGTTCTTATTCTCCTTGATTCAGATGCAGAGGAGAGCTCTTTGGATTTTGACAACACTTTTCAGAAACTGTATCAATTCTCAGGCTTTCAGTGTTAGTCCCAGATCAAATTCAGACTTGGAAACCAATGGCTACATGTTTCATGCCCTTTCATGCCATTTGGGCAAGGATTGCACTTCTGATGTCCTTCCTTTTTGATCAAAGGTGGGCTATCCATCTGACCTTCCCCTTAAGATTCGATGAAGATTAGACTCAAATTACTAGAGTTCCTTATTTTCCCATAAAGTCCAAGACCAAATGAAGGAAAACGATCATCCAATTTAATTCAGGTGTGTAGAGAGTGACTGATATATTCCAGGAATAGTGAGAGCCCCACAGGCATGAATAAGACACAACTGATCTTAAGAAGGCTTCAATGCGAGGGCAGATGGATAACTGAACTCAACAAGTACAGGTTAATAAAACATGTACTGCAACAGGAACACGGGACAGCAAGGCTCTTCAGGGCTTTTTCAGGCTGTAACCCAGGACTACCATGGCAAACCCTCCAGTCAGAAGTCACTCACCTTGACAGGTGGGTTCTGGAGATGACCAGTTTCCAAGTGGGCCACATCTTGTTTTACCATCTCCAAGTAGCTTTGTTCCCGCGGAGCATTTGAAGGTACACTGTGAGCCGAAGCTGAAGGTTCCCAGAGGGTGAGTGCAGTCCATGCTGCCCAGATCTGGGGCCTCCAAAGCCTCACACTGGACCACTTCAGTAAGGAAAGAGACAGTGTTGGGAAGGGTTAAGAGGGCCTGCTGCCTGGGTTTGAATCCCAGCTCAGTTGACAACCCTGTGCCTTCTTCAAGCAAGGTCACTGAAAGCCTGCAACCTCAGTTTCTTCATGTTTAAATGGTTAATGATGATAAGTGTATTAACTTCATGGAGTTGGTAGGAGCTACATGTTATTTGATAACTATAAGTCAAAACCCTAGAACAGATCCTGGCTCTTCAGAAGTCCTACCTAAATATTCACTAATCTTCACATTGTATCATTGGCATTATCTGGGGAGAGAATTCAAACCCAGACCAGTTCAAGTGGGAGTGAAGGCCTTGGCTGGGGAACAACTGTCACACCAGAGCCTGAACACACTGGAGTACTGGGGGTCAGAAATTCAGAGCAAACAGGGATCTGCATAAGCAGACTTCTTGGAAGGGGCGTGGTAAAACTCCGGGAACCCTCCTGCCCTCTGTTCTGCTGTTATTCCCTTTAGGTCCATGGCACAAGTTTAGCTCACTGACTTTTCACTACCTTCTTCACTATCGATTTTCCTGCTCTGACTGGTGGTTCAGAAGCTCAGACTCAGACTTGGAAACCACAGCCTGTACACTTCATGCCCTTTCATTCCTTCTGACCTCGTCCTGAGACTTCAGTGAAGATTGGTCTCAAGCTACGAGGAGAATTTTTCTATATTCCACATTCAGTACAAGTCCAAACTAAGGAAAAGTAAATCATTCAATCTGATCAGGTGCACAAGAAAGTGCCAGGGGAAATAGATAACTGGAGATGACCTCAAGAAACGTGGGGGCGATGAGAATGAAATACATGGAGCAACACGGAGTAGCATGGACACAGGTAGCAGGACTCCTGCGTTTCTCATGAACCAGGACTACCATGGCAAAACCTCAGTCAGAAGTCACTGACCTTGACAGGTGGGTTCTGGAGATGACCAGTTTCCAAGTGGGCCACATCTTGTTTTACCATCCCCAAGTAGCTTTGTTCCCTCGGAGCATTTGAAGGTACACTGTGAGCCGAAGCCAAAGACTCTCAAAGGGTGAGTGCAGACCATGCTGCCCAGCTCTGGGGCCTCCAAAGCCGCACACTGGACCACTTCAGTAAGGAAAGAGACAGTGTTGGGAAGAGTTAAGAGGGCCTGGTGCTGAGATTTGAATCCCAGCTCAGCCAGGTAATAACCATGTGCCTCAGGCAAGGTCGCTTAAGCCCTGCAACTTCAGTGTCTTCATCTACAAAAGGACAAAGATGATGACTGTATTAATCCCTGGTGGGAGAGCTGCATGCCACTGAATTACTGCATGAAACTCCTAGAACACACATGGCTTGCCCTAACTAGATGTTAGCTGTTCTTCACATTGGCACTATTGGCATTATCTGGAGAGAGAACCTAAACCTGATGGGTATAAGTGGGAAGACCAGCGTAGCTGGGAGTAACTATTAGATTTCTGCCCCTGAGTACTTTAGTGTATTGGGATTTGGAGTTTCTGTTCTCTTGGAAGGGGAGAACATAAAGTTTAGAAATCATTCTGGCCTCGAGCCTGCATTATTCTCCTAAGCTAAGAGGAAATTCAGTTCTTTGAGTTTTTTTACAATCCTCCTCAGAAAATGTGTCTATATCTATGCTCTGATTGTTAGCACAGAAGACCAAAAGAAGACTTGGAAATCAAAAGCTACATATTTGGAATGTTCTATGCCATTCCGGCAAGAATTACAACATATTGTCTTATTCCTTATGAATCAAATACAAGCTTTCATTTGGATATTGCTCTTCAAATTTCAATGAAGAATAGTTAAAGGAATTAGGAGAATTTTTCTATATTCTACAAAGAGTACAAGTCCAAATGAAGGAAAATTGTTACCTGATTCAGTTCAGGTGCACAAGAAAAGTGCCTGATTGCAGGCAGAGCCTGAGTGCAGCAGCTGCAGTCACAGATATGGCACCAGTAGACCCCATGAGGCTCCCAGTGCTGGGCCAGATGGGTAACTACGGAAAGGGACTCAAGCGTGTGGGAGAAGGGAAAAGGAACACGAGGAGCAATAGAAACAGAACAGCAAGGCTCTTTGGGCTTTTTCAGACTGTACCCCAGAACTACCATGGCCAAGCCACTAATCAGAAGTCACTGACCTTGACAGGTGGGTTCTGGAGATGACCAGTTTCCAAGTGGGCCACATCTTGTTTTACCATCTCCAAGTAGCTTTGTTCCCGCGGAGCATTTGAAGGTACACTGTGAGCCGAAGCTGAAGGTTCCCAGAGGGTGAGTGCAGACCATGCTGCCCAGCTCTGGGGCCTCCAAAACCTCACACTGGACCACTTCAGTAAGGAAAGAGACAGTGTTGGAAAGGGTTAAGAGGGCCTGCTGCCTGGGTTTGAATCCCAGCTCAGCTAGTTGACAACCCTGTGCCTTCAAGCAAGGTCACTGAAAGCCTGCAACCTCAGTTTCTTCATGTTTAAATGGTTAATGATGATAAGTGTATTAACTTCATGGAGTTGGTAGGAGCTACATGTTATTTGATAACTATAAGTCAAAACCCTAGAACAGATCCTGGCTCTTCAGAAGTCCTACCTAAATATTCACTAATCTTCACATTGTATCATTGGCATTATCTGGGGAGAGAATTCAAACCCAGACCAGTTCAAGTGGGAGTGAAGGCCTTGGCTGGGGAACAACTGTCACACCAGAGCCTGAATACACTGGAGTATTGGGGGTCAGAAATCCAGAGCAAACAGGGATCTGCATAAGCAGACTTCTTGGAAGGGGCGTGGTAAAACTCCGGGAACCCTCCTGCCCTCTGTTCTGTTGTTGTAGGTCCACTGCAGAAGTTTAGCTCACTGACTTCTGACTACCTTTTCCAGAAACAGAAGATCAGACTCAGACTTGGAAACCACAACCTGTACATTTCATGCCCTTTCAGGGCCCGTGAAAAATGTGGTGTGTCTCATGTCTTATTCCTTATGATCAACGTAGAGCCCTCCTTCTGACCTCCTCCTGAGATTTCAGTGAAAATTGGTTTCCAGCAATGAGGAGGATTTTTCTATTTTCCACATTCAGTACAAGTCTGAATCAAAGGAAATTAAATGGTCCAATTCAATTCAGGTGCACACAAAAGTGCCTAATGTATTCCAGGCACAACCTGACTCCCAGAGATGCAACCAGGAATAAGGCAGTTGTTGATCTTAAAGAAGCTTTCAGTGTGACTCTCAACGAGCATGGGAACAATGAGAATAAATACATGGAGAAGATGGAGCACAGATGAGCAAGACTCTTCTGCACTTTCTCAGACTGTAAACCCAGGGCTATCATGATATAGTATTTAGTTGGAAGTTACTCACCTTGACAGGTTGGTTCTGTAGAGGACCAGTTTCCAGATGGCCCACAACTTATTTTATCAAGACCAAATAAGCTTGTTCCCTCAAAACATGCAAAGTCACACTGTGAGCTGAAGCTGAAGTCTCCCAAAGGGTGATTACAGATCATGGTACCCATCACTGGAGCCTCCAATGCTTCACACTGGACCACTTCAATAAGGAAAGATACAGTGTTGGGAAGGGTTAAGAGCCTAGTGTCTGGACGTGAATCCAAGGTCTCCACTTGATAACCATGTGCCTAGTTTGCTATCCAAGAAAATATTTCTGGAAGGAATGATTCCTGGACTATGTTTTGAAGATGAACAATAGTGTCAGCCACATGTTAAACATGATAACGAACCCTTGAGAAAATTCAATGATAAAAAACACACTTGGCAAATGGAAAAACACAAGTATTTTGATGTTACTTGAAGGAAAGAGGTGACAGGGAATGATGTCTGATGTGATTAGGAAGAAATATAGGAACTCAGATTAAATACTCTTCACTTTTTTTGTTAATATAATGAGGACCAAGATCAAGTTTATGTTAGGTCTTGAGGGGCTTTGATTTCATCTGTAGGACAAGTGTTAAGCACAAATATTAGGGTGGATGGTCACACATGTAGGCTATATTTAATTATTTTTTAATTGTCAGCAGGCATGAGCAATATATTTGAGGGAAGCAAATTTAAAGGTATGGATCACATCTAGAAGAATATGTCAATCATTTAGAAGAAAGACAATGTGGGCAGTGACAGAGTTGACAACAGGACACAAACTGGAGAAAATCATAATTTCTGAATATTGATAATGGATTACCTTGCATACATGTTGGGGGGAGGTGAGACTGTCACAGCAGTGCCTATGAGCATGGTAGCTCTACAGGCAGATAAAGAGTGCATAAAGGAAAGATGGCTGGGACAATTGACTTGATATTCTTTTGGATATCCCCAAGGAAATCCTTCACATATTTGGAGTTGAGGGATCAAGACAGATTTTTCAGTCCAAAGAGAAATCTGTGGGTCCACAAAAGTAAGAAAGTTTGACAGGACATAAAAAGCCATAGGAAAAGATGGAAGTTGATGTTAATAGTGTTAAAGAGCTGGGATTCCTGCCTATGTAGGAACCCAGACGAGTGATGTTATGTTGAAACAGAAACAGAAAAGAAAGGCATGATGGAAAGCAAGACAAAAAAAAAAAAAAACCTAAATGTTTGAAAGGAGAGGAATGGGAATACACTTATATAAGGTTTAAAAAATAAAGTTCCAGAATAGGAGTAAAATTTTAGGTAGCAGCCTTGGCTCAGAGATTAAGAAAAATGAGTTGGATCTATTCCAGTCAGTTGACATCTGAATCCACTTTGGCTTTAAGTCATATTCTTTACAAATATTGCTTTTGTCAATAATTTTCTATTCTATACATCAGACACTTAAAACTTATTCTGAAACTACCAACATCAGTCAAAGTATCGCGTGTCTCCTTCAGTAGTGGGTGACAGGGTCAAGGCCTGGCTTTAACCTGTGTGTTCCCTCCTGTCCATTTCCACCTCCTTGCCTCTGAGTGACTGACAAAGCCCAGGAAGAGCCTCTCCATCGCCCACCATGTGCTTCCGGGTTAACTGCCCACTTACCGAGGAAGACGCTAAGGAGCCTCTCACTGCAGATAAGGCTGGGCTCCTTCACCAGCAGTTCCAGGCCCTGGGCTCACTGCAGCTTGTCTCCCTCACACTCAATTGTGAACAGATAAGATTTCCCTTAACTAACCAAAAATCCTTTGTGGGAAGGTTTTATGACAGATCTTCCATTGTGTTCTCCTGAAATACTTAGCCCAAGTGAACATGGAGAATTTGCTGTTACACATCTCTGACATAAGCTATGTATCATCATGGACTTTTCTCCTGGCTTTCCCTGTCATCACTTTATAAAAAAGTGAGATTACCTTCTGGGTAACTCTCTCTCCTAAGGGTAAACTGTACAGTTTCTTTCAGACTAAAGAACTCTAATTAATTCATTAAGCTCATCAGTTTGTGAGCTCCCTGAGAGCAGGAATCGATCTCCCCTGACTCCTTACATTAGCGCTCAATACACACCTGTTTCTTGTAGAAATCAGAAACACCTGTGAAGTGAATTGAACCTTACACTGACAGGTGGAATCTTTGCATAAAGATGACACCTTGCAAAACTATAACTTCTGATCACAACTTCCCATTTCTCAGAATGGCTAGTATCATTTGGTCCCAATCAGCTTCCATCATAAGCTACAGTGAGTCTTGTTACTTGCAAAGGAGTGAAGGGGCTTACCAAACTGACACTGGGGCCCATAGTGTCCAGCATCACAGTCACAGGTGTAATTGTTGATGGTTTCCACACATTCTCCGTGGCCACTGCATGACCCGGGTGTGCAAGAAGCTTTAAGAGGGTCAGAGAAACAGTGTCTCAATTGATTGCCTTTTAGGATTAATAGATATTTCTTTTGTCATAGGTAACTGTTTATCTGCACTATTTTAATAAGCAGGAAAGGTTTATTTATATGTTCAAAGCACTTTTGCATAAAAATCACATGCTAAAATTTCAGTTTATAAAATATGCTAGGCATACATCCCAGGACACGTGTGTGCTTTTAAAGTCAGCTTGCCGAGAGTAACATGCTGACAGCTGGGGAGATGTTGCTTAGGCTGCTAACACTGAAACTCTTGAAATGCCTTGCTTTCAGTGCAGTGATGGGTAAATGAAGGCTGGGCCTCACTCACCTCTGCACTGTGCTTGGAGTCCTTCCTTATGGGAAGCACTAAGATAAAAAGTCCAAATTTCTAAAGGAGCAGAGAGTCCAGTTTACGAGGAACCAAATGAACTGTTTCACTGTTAAAATCCGGCTTGGAAAAATCCTGGCTGGGCTGGAACTGTTGTGACAGCCACCCAACAAGCCTGTGCAGTGTTGTGCCAGGAGGTCACGGAGGCAGCTTTCAGCCCAGGCTCCTGCTCTACAAGGAGGACACAGGCCAGGTGAGCCCCAGCTCTCAGCCAGCCCTGCTCTTGGTGTCCACTTCCTGCCCTCCATCAGGGGCCCTGGCTGTCTAACTCCTCCCTGCCTCCCATGTAATGTACTTAGCACCTGGATGGGACGGGAATTAGGGGTATGGGTGTGGGGTGTAGGAACCGGCTTCACACACCAGAAATGCTCAGCAGTGACCTGATCCATGCCCAGTTGGGGGACAGGAAGCAGATGAGAGTGAGCTAGCTCCTGCCTCCCTCCCCAGCACTCCCATGGGGTAGGTCTGATTATTCTAGCTCAGGTCTTCCTCGTGGCCTGGTCTCCCACCTGTGTAGCAGAGGGCTGCCTTTGGTCTGTGGCAGGCTTCATCGTTCCACTTGCCTCCATATCTCATCCTCTTGATGTAGATCTCCACGCAGTCTTCCTTGGGCCTATTGTTGGGCTCCCCAGGTCCCCAGTTCTCTGCTTCTTTTGTGAGAGGCTTGTTGGTTCCCACCCATGTCCATATGTTTCCTATCTTCCGGATTCCTATCCAGTAGTAAAAACGGTTGAAGGGCACTGTCTTCTCCAGGTACTCGATTTCTCTCTTATTTTGTATGGCAACTAAATCCGTGTACCTTTCTTTGCAGAACTTTCTAGCACTTTCCCAGTTCATGGGTTGTTCAGAATAGTGGTAGGTCCAACAGTCAGTTCCATGATGTGCCAGGAATTCTGAAAGACAGAGCAGGAAGCATATCTACTCAAGTGTTTCAGCTGAGAAGAGCCCAGCTCTCGTCTCCAGGCTGAGCTGCCACTCAGAGAGGCGGAGCTGAGGGCCCAGGAGGGTAAGTGACCGCTCAGTATCAAGCCCTAGTTGTTAGCAGATGGGAAGCAGAACCCAGACCTCTGTTTGAACATGGGATATCTTCCTCATGGCATTGTTTTTTATGGACACAATGGCTTTCTAGGTCTATTTTTAAAAAAAAAAAAAAATTTTTTTCTCAAAATTCCTTTATGAGAAATTTAACTAACATATTTTAAAAATTCAAATTTCATTTTCTTATTGATTGTCAATCATTTAAAACGAATTGAAGTATGATATCATAAAACTCCAATACTTATAGTCTACTATTTTATCCTGGGATAATTTCCTAAAGGCCGACATGGGGAAAGGTCCCAGCTGTGGCTGGAGCATCTTGAGACTCACAGAAAACTTCCAACATCACTGAGAGGAGGACCAAAAAGGTGACCAAGTCCCTGCCCTGAAGGAGTTCACACTGGAACTGCAGAAATTGCTTTATTTGCTAACATTATTCATTCTCAATTGAAGGCTTTTGTGGGATTGTCGGGATTTGGAGTCTGCAGCACAGGCTGTGGCAGGCAAGATTGGGGTTGGGGGTTCTTGGGGAGGTACCAAGGGCTTGAGGAAGAAGAGAGAGGTCACAGAGGGATGGAATTGGTAGAGGTCCACCTAATAATTTTCCCTGCATCTATGCACACTCAGTGGATGTTTGAGAAAATGAACATAAATTAAAAGGCTTAGCAATGTGTGGCTATCACAACATACCCCAGCAGAGCACTGTCCAGATCCACAACTGGGTGATCCACAAGCCCCTCTGTGCACTCTGACATTTCCTTGGAAATATCTGCAATAAAATACAGGACAATTTAGATTGGAGACAGGTTTAAAGCACCTGGGAGGGGTGGGGTACCTGCAACTTTCTGAAAGTTCCAGATAAAACACACAAATGCACAAACCCTGTCCCCCATCAGAGGTTTCCCAGACAAGGGAGAAAAAGTCACATCACATCAACCCAAACCTCCTACAGTTTTGTTCCATTTTGATTTCATGTTTCAGTCTCAAATTGCTGATCATCATTGCTCTGATGCTTTTCTATATCCCAGTAAATTCGTGCCTGCTTGTCTATGGAGCTTTCAGGTCAAATTACTGAATATTTGTATATTTGTTAAGTCTTCCTTGGCGCTTAATGACCTTTGGTGTTTAGATCGACTGCTGTCTTCTCACACTTGATCATGATCAGTCAATGCTTCAAATACCTAAGAGAATTACATAACCAGACTCCAGAGAAGCAAAGCAGTTCATTTTCTTTTCTAAAGAAGAAATAAATTTTTGAGAACTGAATGACAGCATCCCAGGTTCTCTGCAGCCCTGAGGGCCATGTTTTCTGCAGAGGACACCTCTCTGGCAGCACCGTGTTTCACTGCCCAAGCACCACTTCCCTCTCACCAGAGACTCTCAGGGGAGGACGTCGGCCACCTGACACCCTAGGATCACATTCTGAGACTGAGAGCATTTTTGGTTTCTGCATGTTAAAAACCAAAAATGAAATGGCTTCTTTCTTGTCCCATGCCACCTGCCCCTCCAGCCCCAGGAGAGTTTCTCTGCGTGTCTGGAATCTCTGGGCCAAAGGCTCACCATGGCTTTGCTGGCTCCTTCTCTGGCTCCACAGCCTTCAGCCTCTGCACGCAGCACCTGGACTCTCTGGGTCCTTGTGGAGGGGGCCTGCTTGCTCCAGGGGAGGGCTCTGAGTGTCACCAGCAGGGCTCTCTCCACCCAGTCTCACATCCTCCTCCCTCCTCCCTCCCCTTCCTCCTCTTCTTCTCTCACCTCTTCCCCCACCCCTTTCCTTAGCTGGCCTCTGCCCCTCTCCCTGGGAACAGTGAGGTGTTGTGGTTGGATTCTCCTTCCTCTCCCACTTCCGTCTTCCTCCCTCTGTCCCTTGTCCTGTGCTTCCTTCCTTCCCTTCTGCTGCCCCCCTTTATTGTTCTCATACTGTTGTCTTCTTCCTCCTCCTTCTCCTCCTCCTCTTCCTCCTCCTCCTCCTCCTCCTCCTCTTCTTCCTCCTCCTCCTCCTCCTCCTCTTCCTCCTCCTCCTCCTCCTCCTTCTCCTCCTCTCCCTCCTCCTCCTCTCCCTCCTCCTCCTCTTCCTCCTCCTCCTTCTTCCTCCTCCTTCTCCTCCTCCTCCTCCTTCTTCCTCCTCCTTCTCCTCCTCCTCTTCCTCCTCCTCCTCCTCCTCCTCCTCCTCCTCCTCCTCCCTCCTCTCTCTCCTTATTAATGCTGACTACCTGTTGTAGGTGGCCCTGGTAATACCACAGTTCAAAACTTCTATTTCAGACCATTTTTTAAATTTACATATGACAGCAGAGTGCATTACAATTCATATTACACATATAGAGCACAGTTGTTCACATTTCTGGTTGTACATAAAGTATATTCACACCAATTCATGTCTTCATACATGTGCTTTGGATAACGATATCCATCTCATTCCACCATCATTTCTAACCCCATGCCTTCTTCGTTCCTCTCCCACCCCTCTGTCCTATCTAGAGTTTGTCTATTCCTCTCTTGTTCAGACTCCCTACCCAACTATGAATCAGCCCCTTTATAGCAGAGAGAACATTTGGCATTGGTTTTGAGGGATTGGCTAACTTCACTTTATTTCAAACTTATTATTTAAATTTGATAATTTATATAATAAATGAATAAATGTATTAATTTAGTTGTTCATTTGTTTGTTTGTTTCAAACAAATATAAGGTGTCTGTCACACTTCAATAAGAGCTACCTGGCTCACTTGACAAAATCCAGTTCCTTCTCCTCCTTTCCTTGCTCGCCTCCTAGTGGAGAAGCTTGTGAATGGCACCCCCTGAAGTGAATCCCTGAAGTCCAGGGGTTTAGGCTTTCTGCCCTGGGAAGGTTTGGGGGTCCACACATTTCTGAACTATAAAATGCATTTTATTTGTTGGATTTTATGAAGTATAAAACTTATTTCACTTCTGAACTAGAAAGTGTATTTTGTTTGATTTTATTATTTGTTTGTTATTCTATTTGGTAGACATTTCTATTTTTTTAAAGCCATACACAAATGCAAACTTCTCGAAAGCCAATTTGTGTCTTCTGGCACACAGACAAGTTGGTTCAAGCCTCAGAGTTGCATAAATTCCCAGAGATTTCCTTCAATTCAGGTCTTGTCAGGCAGAACGACCTAGATCCCAACCAAATTTTGCAGGGGAAAGACGTCTTGGAGAGGGAGGTGATTATTTAGTGAACATTGTCAAACACATGCAGTTGATTTACTTTTCTGTACATTTTAAATTCTCTCTGTATATCGAGTTAGACTTCTAGCTATTGGACCACATCAACCTAGCCCCTCACTGAGTCCATCCAGAGCTGTGGCTTTTGAATCTCAGCAAAGTTATTTTTCATGTGTTCATTTGAATCATGTGGATTGATCTTGTGTTTGTCAAACACATTTTTCCTGAGAACACAGTGAGAGACGTGGGGTAGAGTTAGAGCGTGTACGTGACGCCATGGGATGTTATTCTGCCTCTCCAGGAAGGCAGTCCTGGCACTGGTGTAACAGGAACCAGAGCTGAAACCATGCTAAGTGAGAGAAGCCCGGCAGGGAGGCCGCACGCTGGACGAGTCCATTCTGGGGGACACCCAGACCAGGAGGAGCCGCAGAGCAGGAGGTGGCCTGCAGGCCCACGGTGCTGAGGGAGCAGGTGACAGGGCTTTTCATGGAAGTGCTTTGGAACTAGGACAGGGGCTGGTGGCACAGTGCTGTGGAGGTGCTGGACTGTCCCCCTCATCACGGCTGCGTTTCACCACACGAACTTCAGCTCAAGGTGGAAAAGGAGCCAAGTGTGCACTGAGCTTAAAGAGAGGAGCTGGGGCAGCAGAGTCACAGGCACCTGTCAGCAGCCACTTGAAGGGCGGCAGGAGAAGGGGCTGACTGGGCTGTGCCACCAGGTGGGGCTGGTGGCATGACAACCCACCACTCCCTGAGGGAGGAGCCACTGCTGGAAGGCCAGTGCCCACCTGAGGGTGGAGGGGAGAGCCTCTGGGGGCCACTGAGAGCAGCATCCTAGGACCACAGAAGAACCATCGCCCCGGCTTTCCCAGCCTGCCCCTCAGAGGGCCTCGGCTCGCTCGCTCCTCGCCCAGCAAGGAGCTCCCACTGCAGTCCCCTCAGGTTGCCCTCCAGGCCACCGTGGGACCCCTCCACAGATGCCTCCCCTCCACAGCCCTATCCAAACACCTCCACACGGCTCAGAGCTGCTCTCCCTGCCCCTGGGGCCAAGCCACCTCCTGGACGGTTCACCACACCCCTGTCTCCACACAGCCTCGAGGTCCTTCCCAGATGCTCCCCTGCTGCCCCTGGGACTCCTGCTTCACAGTGGGCAAGCTCACCCGTATGCTGCAGTTCTCCCAAACCTCCTCTACCTTCCTCCATAGCAACCGCTGCCTCCTGGGGTCATGTCTCCCCTGCAGATCTCTCAGGACAGTGACATTTTCTCCACACGCTGCAGGATGGGCCTCCTGCTTTCTGATGGGGCCCTTTTACACATCTCTGTTCCCCACCACACTGGAAAGAAAAGGAAGCAGCAATCAAATAACCCAGGATCTCTGAAGCTCACCGCACCAGGATGCGCCATCTTGTCACTGTCCTCATGGTGGTGAACCCAACTCCTTCATGCACTGGTGGCTTTGGAACCTGGCTCCTGGTCCTCCTGTCCCTGGAAGCACCTCCCACAGCCATTTGTGACTGCACCATGCACTGAACACCTGTCCCACAGCAGGATCCTCACTCTCTAAGTCAAGGTCAGCCACTCCTCCCTGAGCACAGCCTCCACCTTGACACCTCAGGAGACTTCAGCACGTCCTCCCACCACTTCTGTCCCCTGTTCCTGCTGGCTTGTTGCTCAATATCTCACTGTGATGCCTTTATTCCTACCCCATTGACCCCCAGCTGTTAACTCACCCCCCACTCCTTTTTACTTCACAGTGGGACTCATTTTTAGTTTTTATATTTTAATCACACATATTAATTGTACACATTAATGTGGTTCAGTGTTATATTTCCGTACATGCCATACAGTGTTCATTGATCAAATTCAACCTCCCTTTGTTCACATCCTTCACACCCTTCTCAATCTCTGATAATCATTTTCTTCTTTCAGGTCAAATTTTTTAGCCTCCAAAGGAGAGGGAAACACATATCTGGCTTATTTCACTTTCCACAATATCCTCCAGTTCCATGCATTTTGCTGCAAATGACAAGAACCTATTCTTCTTTATGGCCAAACAACACTTCATTGTGATTAGACACCACATTTTCCCCTACTCATGGGCTGAGGGGTCTCTTTGCTGTGCTCATTTCATTTCTTCTGACCAAGGTAAATGACCTTTTGCTGTATCATGGAATTTAATTTGATTATTTTCTTGAGAAGTCTACATCTATGTTCATCAGGAAGATTGGTGTATAGTTTTCTATTTTGGCTATGTCTTCATCTGGTTTTGGTGACAGGGTAAAGCTAGACTTATAGGATGTGTTTAAAGGGGTTTCTTCCCTTTCAATTTTATGGAACTTTCTGAGAAGAATTGACCTGAGCTCTTTTGTAAAGTTTGGTAAAATTCAGCAGTGAAGTCATCTGGTTTGGGTTCTTCTTTGTTGAGAGATTCAGTCTAATTACTTGTTACTGGTTTGTTACTTTTTTTAATAACCTCATGGTCCAATTTTGGCAGGTCATAAGTGTCCATAAATGTGTCCATTTCTTCTAGGTTTCCCAATGTTTTAGTATATAATTTTTCAAAATAATTCCTAAAGATCCTTTCTTGGTATAAGTTGTCATATCTCCCTTTCATTTAATTAGTTATTCTAATTCGTTATGCATAATGACACAATGCAATTTATTTCATATTACACATATAGAGCACAATTTTTCAAGTCATTGATTGTATGCAAAGTATTTTCACACCATTCGTGTCTTATACATGTACTTAGGGTAGTGATGTCTCACTCATTCCACCATCATTCCTACCCCCTTGCCCTCTCCTTTCCCCTCCCTTCCCTTTGCCCTATCTAAAGTTCCTCCACTACTCCCAAGTTCCCCGCCCCATCCCCATCACCATTTTGAGTCAGCATCTTCATATCAAAGAAAATATTCGGCGTTTGGTTTTTTTGGGAATTGGCTAATTTCACTTAGAAGTATATTCTCCAACTTCATCCATTTACCTGCAAGTGCCATGATTTTATTCTCTTTTAATGCTGAGTAATGTTCCACTATGTATATATACCGTTTCCCTATGCATTCATCTACTGAAGGGCCTCTTTGTTGGTTCCACAGTTTAGCTATTGTGAATTGTGCTGCTATAAACATTGATGTGGCTGTGTCCCTGTAGCATGCTGATTTTTAAGTCCTTTGGGTATAAACTGAAGAGTGGGATAGCTGGGTGAAATGGTGGTTCCATTCCCAGTTTTCCAAGGAATCTCCACACTGTTTTCCAGATTGGCTGCACCAATTTGCAGTCCCACCAGCAGTGTATGAGTGTGCCTTTTCCCCCCACATCCTCGCCAACACTTACTGTTGTTTGTATTCTTGATAGCTGTCATTCTGACTGGAGTGAGATGAAATCTTAGAGTAATTTTGATTGACATTTCTCTAATTGCTAGAGATGTTGAACATTTTTTCATATATTTGTTGATGGATTGTGTATCCTCTTCTGAGAAGTGTCTGTTCAGTTCCTTGGCTCATTTATTTGATTGGTTTATTTGTTTGTTTTTGTTGTTGTTATTATTTGTTTGTTTTTTGGTGTTAAGGTTTTTGAGTGCTTTATATATCCTAGAGATTAGTGCTATATCTGATGTGCTTGTGGTAAAGATTTGCTCCCATTCTGTAGGCTCTCTATTCACCTCACTGATTGTTTCTTTTGCTGAGAAGTTTTTTAGTTTGAATCCAACTCATTTA